AATTAATGGATGGCAATGGTCGTCGGAGACGTTTGAACAGTGCCCATTTATCAGCTGACATAACGGACTTTTTCTGACCTATGTACACATGGCAGTTCGTCGAAGCGAGTTTGAACAGTGGCCAACGGTCAGCTGGTGCTGGTGACCAGTCCATGATGGAAGGCAGGTTGGATGCTTCACGACGGCCCTACGGTACCGTAGACTGCGCCTCACGTTGTAGCTTGGCCTCAAAGCGTGTTTACTATAGTACGGAGATGCGCCGTGGGTTATGTCAACATTCGACGTGTGCAATCGTCTCCTTTTAATGCGTGGTTGCAATTGTGTGGCATGTCTGACGACGGTCGGTGTTTGTCGATCTTTGTCGAGCGCATCACAGAGTAAATACGATGAGTTGAAAGCGCAGAAAGATCAGGGAAGTAAGCAGCAGGGTGACAGAGGCGATGGCGTCCCCGGTTGTGAGCTCAGCGACGGCCGCATTCGACCACCGGCTATCGTCTGCCGTTCAGCGATATTACGACAATCCGAAACCAACCAGGCAAAAAGGCAGATCCACCCACCCTCACTACCTCGTCGTCGTCACTTCACTCGCGCCATCAGCTGGATGATCGGTCGGCACGCAACAAAGGATTGAGGTCAGTGCAGTTGCCATCTAATAACAAATTAACGTTGCAGCTATTTATCACCGACAGTTTATTGATGTACCTGATTAATTGATCCTGCCGTTATTATAAATTTTATTTTTACGTTAATCGATTTTATCGAACTGATGTGAGTACAGCAACGACACTGACCGACCGATCCACGAAGTGTGGCCTGACCGTAATGAAGCGAAGTAATGTGCGGTAAATCAGAAAAGAGCACGACTCAATGATGCTATTATTAAATTGCGACTTGACAATAATAATTATTTTCGCTCTAGCTGCCCAGTGATATTGTCAATCTTCAGCTTAATCGATTTCAGGGTTACACCTGAAGTCACACACACACATATATATATATATATAAACATATATTGTG